TGTATATATTTCCCTTTCATATCCTTTGCTAATTTTTCTACTGGGCTGTTTGTTGGTGTTCTTATAGATTTGAAGGAACATTTATTTTTTATTGAGGTAAAAGTCACTTAACATAAAATTAACCATTCACAATGAACAATTCATTAACAATCCAGTGGCATTTAGTATATTCATATACATAATGTTTTGCAACTATCACCTCTATCTAGTTCTAGAACATTTTCTTCATCACCAAAGAGACCCCATATCCATTAAGTAGTCACTCCTCATTCCTCACCTCCCCCAACCCCTGGCAATCATTCATCTGCTTTCTGTCTCTATGGGTTTATCTATTAAAAATATTTCAAATAATCGGATTCAAGCAATATGTGACGTTTTGTGTCTGTCTTCTTTCACTCAGCATAATGTTTTCAAGGTTCATCCATGTTGTAGCATCACCAGACCTCATTCCATTTTTATGGCTGAATAATATTCCATTGAATGGATAGACCATGTTTTATTCATTCATTCATTCATATGTTGATGGACATTTGGGCTGTTTCCACTTTTTTGGCTATCATGAATAATTCTGCTGGGAACGTTCATGTACGCGTATTTTTTGAATTATATTTCAGGGAAATTAGTATATTTTTATATATCAGAGAAAATAGTCTTTGGCTTATGATAGGTGTTGCAAATATTGTATTTCAGTTTACCATTTGTCTTTGACTTGGCTTATGGTGGCTTTTGCAAGCAGAGTTCTGAAAAAATTGCTATGTAATTGAACCTGTTCAGGTGGGTTTTGTGACACAGTTAAGAAGGCCATCCTTATACTTGAGGTTATAAAATAATTCTTCCATCAAAGCTTCCACTTATCCACTCATTTCCTTATCAGTCAAACAGGGATTAAAAACAGCCCTACTTGTCCCCCAGGGTTACTGTGAGTACCAAATAAGAAATGATATGAAAGGGCTTTTAGAATATAAAGCAATATATATACAAAAGGCATGTTGTCATCATCACTATTAATTGTATCAGATTCTGGCACTAACTAGCTGAGTTGTTTTTGCTTTCATTTTGCAGAGCAGAGATTGAAGGGCAGAATTATTCACTGAGCCGGCCAAGGATACTTTAGTTGGTAGCAATATGGAGAATGTCACAAAAGATGTCAACTCTTATTAGTCATCTTAGGAGGGTTTCATATTTGACCAGAAAAATAAAATTGCCTTAAACTGAAAACTATTCTGGTCACTCTTCCTTCAAGTAGAGTCTTTTTTTTCTTTCTTTTTCTGCCAAGAAAAGAAACCAGTTCTGTGAGTTTTGTGTTATTCAGCTGTACTTGTAATTTAAACCTCATCAGTGGCCATTTGTGACACGATTTTCTTGTATTTTTAACCCCAAATTCTTTTTCTTAAAATATTTTTTCTTGATTGTAGAGAGAGAGAGAAGAAGGGAGAGGGGGAGAGAGAGAAACATCGATGTAAGAGCAGAACATCAATCAGCTGCCTCCTGACCACCCCCTACTGGGGATTGAGCCCACAACCTGGGCATGTGCCCTGACCAGAAATCGAGCCAGCAACTTTTTAGTGCACAGGACAATGCCCATCCAACTGAGCCACACCGGCCTGGGCCCCAAATTTTTTTTTAATTTTTTAAAATTATTAAAATGTTAGCAAGCTTTAGGTTGAATACTATTGATTGAAAAAAAATATCAGTATTCAGCAGCCATTATTCGTATGATAATGGCTCTGAGATAGAATCGTGTACTGGTTAAGTCCTTGGACCCTGATGTTGGTCAGACTTGGGCTTGAATATGATTCAGTTAGTAATCCAGTGTGTGATCTTGGGCAGATTGCTTTGTGCCTCTATTTCACCACATGTAAAGCAAGGATGATTTCAGCACCTGACTACTGTGTTGCAGCAGAAGTCAGTGATACAGTCTATATAGAGTACTTGGTCCAGTGCCTGTATGGAATGAGGGCTCGGTAAATACTAGCTATTATTATAATTCAGGAATATCTAAGAAAATTCATAAGATGAGCCCAAGGGAAATGGAATATACCCTTCTAGCAGGTATTCCCATCCTGTGGGGTTGGCACAGATCAATGGTAGAGCCCTTTTCTTGAGGCAGACCACATTTATTTGGGGGAGAAATCTGGTTTCTGTTACTGTCATGTGGTGTGGGGCGGGGGGTGAACATCTGGAATAGCAGTTGGTTCTCATATAGTAAGTAAGTAAGCAGTTGGTTCTCATATAGTAAGGCCATGAGGAGGGGTGTGTCACAGAAGGGCAGCTGGGAGACTGGGGTGAGCTGCGGGAAGGACTGGAAGGAAAAGGGTGAGGACATTGTGCTAGGGGGCCTTCCCAGGTCACATCACCTGTTCTTGGAGACAGAAGCTTCTGGATGGTGTGATTCACTGTGTGTGGTGATATATTTGCCAGGGCACAGCCCTTTTCTTCTTTCCGCTCTTCCTGCTTTTAACCTGTGTGTCTGGGGGTCCCAACTCTTGTCCTAGATCCAGCATGGTTGAGCCCTAACAAAAAAATATAATAACATCTGTGGGATTTCTGCTATATGCCAGGCACTTTAAATCCCCAGTCGAATTAGATCCTGTGCAATGAGTGAGATCATTTTGTAGATGAGAAAACCGAGGCTCGGAGAAGGCCCCCTACAAGCTGGTAAGCGGCAGAGCCAGAATTTAAATCACCATCTGTCTTATACCAGAACCCAGCTTCTCCTGCCATTTAGCACATAGCTCTGTACCATGCTTTGCTTCAAATTCATATGGGTTTTTGTGAATTCCTGTGGCTCAGTGCCCTACATACAGGTCTCCCAGAAATATTTATGGCTTTAAAATGTTAGTAGTGGATTTAAAATTTTAGTAATGAAGAGAATAGCTGACATTTATTCGTTCCTGTGTCAAATGGGCAACAAGCAGGTTGAGTCACTTGCTTTCCTTCCCAGAGCTGGTCAGTGGCAGAGCCAGGCAGGGGATCCCGTCTGTCACATGCCAAGGTGTGCAGTGTTGACTCCCATTTTTCTCTGAGAGTCTAGGCGTGAGGCAGGGATGCTAATCTCTGAGCACATCTTTCTCAGGTAACATGTGTGGTGTTCTCTTTTTTAAACTAGTCCAAAGGGGAACCAAAGAGGGCCTGAGTATGTCCATGGCAAGGGTGAGGCAGAGGGGTGATGGCAATGGCTGTGGGCCAGTTGTGATTTATGAACTTTACAAACTCCTGTCTCTGGGCACGAAGCTGGAATAAGCTCTGTGATTCACCAACTGGACTTTTCCCTGTGCTTTCTCCAAGTAGATCCTGTGCATTCCCATCTGTAGACCATAGCTCATACTGTTTGCTCCAAAGGAATGCCCTGCTGCCCACACTCCCCTCGCCATGCCTACCTGGGGAGACCCATTACAGCTCCACCCTCTCAAGGAAGCCTCAATGGATTGGCATGGGTAATCTATTCATTTCTGAACTTGAGTCAAGTAATTAATTATACATTCAAAAAAGGCAAATGGAAGACTATTTTGAGAAATCTGTGAAAATACCATACTTAGGGGATAATACTAGTACATGTTAATGATAATCTTAACATGTGAAATCCCAGTGGTCAGGGACCCTATATAGTGCTTGATTTCATTGTTCAATCTTATTCTACCTTCAAGGCACATGAAATGGGTTTCAGCTGTCTAGTAGAATGTTTTGAACATTTGCATGGGCAGAATCTGATCTGGTGTCAGACAGCCTAGGCTTGAATGCTGGTTTGGGTAAGTTACTTCCCATATCTGTGCTTCTGTTCCTTCATTTGTGAAAGGGGGATACTTAGACTATGTTGTTAGGTTGTTGGGGGGGATATCATAGGGTCATAATAATTGCTGTCATTTATTGAGTGCTTCTTATATGCTCGACACTGTGCTAAGCCTGGCTTTACATTCTTATTTGATCTTCCCAAGAGCTCCTTCATTCCTGAAGTCCCCTACCCTGCAATATTTTCTCTTCTATAGCACTTATCATCTTCTACCATATTACATAATTTACTCATGTTGTTTATTTTTCGTCTGCCCCTCCCAGGGTCTCCTGCCTTGCACAGTTCCACAGGCACCATTCACAGTGCATTCTGAGTTCTGCTCTGAGGATATTAATGTAGTGATTTCCTGGAGTTGTGTGATGTGGAGACCTTGGAGTTTCAGGAAGGCAGGGATTTTCCCGCCTGTTTTGATCACTGCTGTATCTCTGTGCCCAGAACAATGCCTGACCTATAGTAAGCTTTCAGTAAATATTCATTGAATGAAATGGGCTCTAAAAAGAGCCCATTTTATTGGTGAGAAAACTAAGGCTCAGTGAGTAATTAATTTGCCTAAAGCCCAGTGAGAGACAAAGGCAGCTGGGTGTTTCCAGCATGCTTGCCCTCAAAGGGTTTGCAAATCTGCATGTCTGAAACATCTGGCATTGTCCCTGCTACCCCCCCAATTGCTCAAAAATATATTAATGAACATGCCTGCACGGGTCAGCCCCTCAACTCTGCTAGACAATTCCCACAGAATGACAAATTGTCACAGAGCTGTTGCTTTAAGAAATTGGATAAATTGCACAGTACAAAGAAAAGGTGGACCTTTCAGAGATTTTGGCAGAAAATTCCCTAATCCCACTGCTAATGGTAGGAGTTTGCAGGGGCCTCTCTTGCTTTCCTAGCCTGATTCTTTTTCCTGCTGCCTTCCCTTTTGTGACTGTCTCTTCCCCTTTTTGCTTGCAGTGAGTTCTGCTCTCCTGTAGGCTACAATGTGTCAGTTGTTATAAAATCCGGGAGGTGGAGCTTAGTGACGAGGGCGAGGTTGGTGGGGGAGTGCTCAGCCAGCCCTGCAGGGCGAGCAGTCCTACTCTAGGGTCACCGGAGCTTAAGCCTTGCAGCAGA